CCCACGTCGATATCCATTTTTAGGGGGTCACATTTTGACATGAATTTCGACCAAAAAATGTGTTGCCAGATTTAAATGCCTAATTAAAGTAGGGGCAAACCATGAAGAAAAATCCAAATCTCGATAAAATCGGTTGAATTTTGGCCGAGTTATGACAATGGGAAAATTCGACACATGTCGATATCCATTTTTAGGGGGTCATATTTTGACATGAATTTCGACCAAAAAATGTGTTGCCAGATTTAAATGCCAAATTAAAGTAGGGGCAAAACCATGAAGAAAAATCCAAATCTCGATAAAATCGGTTGAATTTTGGCCGAGTTATGGCAATGGGAAATTTCGACCCATATCGATATCCATTTTTAGGGTGTCACATTTTGACATGAATTTCGACCAAAAAATGTGTTGCCAGATTTAAATGCCAAATTAAAGTAGGGGCAAAATCATGAAGAAAAATCCAAATCTCATTAAAATCCGTTGAATTTTGGCCGAGTTATGGAAGGGGGAAATTTCGACCCATGTCGATATCCATTTTTAGGGGGTCACATTTTGACATGAATTTCGACCAAAAAATGCGTTGCCAGATTTGAATGTCACATTAAAGTAGGGGCAAAACCATGAAGAAAAATCCAAATCTCGTTAAAATCCGTTGAATTTTGGCCGAGTTATGGAAGGGGGAAATTTCGACCCATGTCGATATCCATTTTCAACCAACGCCGATATCTGATTTTAGGGGTCCATATTTTGACATGAATTTCGACCAAAAAATGTGTTGCCAGATTTGAATGTCAAATTAAAGTAGGGGCAAAACCATGAAGAAAAATCCAAATCTCGTTAAAATCGGTTGAATTGTGGCCGAGTTATGAGAATGGGAAAATTCGACCCATATCGATATCCATTTTTAGGGGGTCACATTTTGACATGAATTTCGACCAAAAAATGCGTTGCCAGATTTGAAAGTCAAATTAAAGTAGGGGCAAAACCATGAAGAAAAATCCAAATCTCGTTAAAATCGGTTGAATTTTGGCCGAGTTATGACAATGGGAAGTTTCGAGCCATGTCTATAAACAGACCCTTTTTTTCTCTCTCTCACTCTCTCTCTTCCAAGCGACTAATTGAATTAGAATTAAATAATAATCTTTAAATTAAAAAATAAATGTTCTAGCGAGTTTATGGGCATGGAAATAGCTATTTGAAATACAATTCTATATTGTTTTCCTGCCGTTTTTTACAGAATATTAGTGAGATATACATTTTCTGGCCTGTTTATTGGCATTAAAAATCCTCTTGATTTGAAATTTGCCTTGTATTTGTTTTACAGAATTATCTCGTAAATTACGAAATTTTAAAAAGCAATTTTATTGGCATCGAAACTAAACGCTTGCATTTGTAAAGCCAACTCGTAGAAATTATGTATCTATCCATCAATCATTTATTGCTACGATTTTATTCAGACAATTTATAAAACATTTCTCCGCAATAAAAGTGAATGCACGACAGACAGCATATAAATATTTTAGATGTGCGCTACAAAGAAAAAAAACCCAATCATAAGAGCGTAAAATGTATAAATATCGAGTAAAACTTGAGTTGTTATTTTTTATTATTGTTGCATAAACTGAAGACAATTCAGAGATAACGTTCAGGCCAGGCGCGGCGGGCGTGCGTGATACAAATTAAAGCTGCAATGGAATATCAAAACACAAATACAATAAATCAACTTAAATATGCATGAGGCGAATAGATGGAAAAGAAAAGAAAAACTGCAAAAAAGTGAGAAAATTAAAAATTCAATACATTTCCTTCCGTTTTGAACGTTTTGGCCAAACGCATGTTGGCGCATTGCCAATTGCCGTTTGCCTCTGGCCCAAGCTTCCTGAAGCTGGCAAATTGAAAGATATTGTAAGCTGTGATTGCAACCAGTTTGTCGCCCACACACTTGGCCCACAAATTGTTTGGGCCACAGCACTTCAAAGGCGGCTTAAATGTTGAATAAGTCCCATTCAGATTAGCTGGCGAGATGAATGCTCCAATTTGCGCGCCCGGCAAACCCGGAAAATGTCTGCAAAATATGCCATAGTCTATCTCTGTGCTTATGTAGTCGAGTGTAAATTGAAGCTTTGTGATTGTTTGCTTTATGCTTTACTCGCATTCTTGTTGTATGCTCTACTTATGCAAAAACAAAAAAAAAAAAGAGTGAGAGTGCTCTAGTCGTGAGTGGCCGACGGGGGGATACTCTGCACCAAGCTGTCTTTGTAGACATTCGAACATTTTACATTTTACATACAGAAGCACACATGAATACACACACACACACACGCACGCTTCTTTGTATTTTCTTTTTCCTTTGGATCCATATTATAAGAAATGTTGCATATAAATGTGTGTATATACGTAATTCAAGTCTATGCACAGAAAAGTGGCTTTATTTTTCAAATTAAGGGGAAATAGCTTGAGGTATTCCAAAAGAGAAATGTTCTTAATCTTCTTATAGCTCTCAAGAGTCTACAAAATAATTTTGAAGTCTTTGTTTTAAATCTATATTTATCTATATTAAGAAAAAGTGGTCGATTTGTTTGCCAAGAATGGATATTTTTCATGATGTCGCAAATGTTGCCCTCTGCCCGCTGCATACATTTGCATAAAACGGTTATACCCGATTTTTAGGCCAACTTTCTGGCATGAAAATGTACTCATGACTCGCTCTGAAAGCTTTTACCTATGAAAAGTGAAAGATCTTGCCGGCTCGCTTACCTAATGCTTATTAGTCGCTGTGGGGCGTGTCGGCAATGCTGGTGGCTTAGTAACTAACGGCTACAGTGGGGCAGCCACATTTTGGTACTCTGGTTTTTTCTGTGTGCTAAGCGTTTAGTTGATGCAAATTTGGTAAATGCTCTAGGAATTCACGACGATTTGCCTGAATGATTTTGTGGTACCAGCTGCTAGCATTGGAATTATCATTAACCAAAGGCCTGGGCGGTGGCAATGTGGTGCTAATCACAACTGTGGCCACTTGCGGTGCCTTCTCATCGTTATTGGACTTGGCTTTGTTGTATGTGCCAAGCGTTGTTCTCTTGCCCAATGGAGCCAAAGTTGTAGCCAATGTTGTTGTTGTTGTTGTTGTAAGCAGTTCTTCGGCTGGCAGCTCGAATGGCACCAGCGGCAAATCATTGTCTATAAAGTTGTGCAATGTTTCAAAGGCTAAACTGCCATTGGCTTGAGTCGTAAGCGGCGTCTTGCCATTGACTATGTCCAGCACAGCTGGCTGCAGCACATCCTGCGCCACATTAATGTGATTCAAATCCAGGCCATGCTGTTGCTTCAGCTGCTGTGCCACTTTATGCTCCACCTGATCCACGCTCACATTCAAATGACTCTTAGGATCCCAGCTTATATTCACAGCTGGCTGCATTTCATGCTGCACCTTGAGTAAATCCGGACGCTGTGTGGGCCAAATGAAGTCCACACGCTGATCGCCCGGCGCATAGCTTTGGGAGTGCGCCAAGTAGCCGCTCTCCTCATTGGATCTGTAGCGTGTCACCTGGACGTATCCGTCGGGCCGCACATAGCCATAGCTGCCCTCAATGCTGCCGTTCAGAAAACGCCTTTCATCCCGAAACTGTATATTGCCAGACTGTGCATCCTCCACTTCATAGCCAAAGGCGTAGGTTTTGGGACCTGTGCGGATTATACAAATAGTTAGTGCTCTATTTACTCCAGCTGCTCTGTTTGCGGCCTACCGTAAGGCTCATGCAGAAAGTAGTTGCTCATTTTGCTCGGTTCACTGCGATTTTCGTCGGCCGTCTTCGCGTATGCTGCATTTCCTGCTGACACTGGCGTGGCCAACGCGGCGTATACTTTTGCGACGAGCAGCAGCAGCAGCAGCTGCAAGAAGAATGCAAATATTAATGCATACTTTGAGGCTAACAGGCTTGGCCTAAAGCTTTAGTTGTAAAGTTTACAATGGATTTAAAATAAGATGAAAAGGAACTTGGCTTTGGTAAAGTAATGGAAGTTGGAAGACTTAAAAAGCTTGAATGTGCGCTTTTATACCCTAACAGAAGGTATCTATGCGTGACGACACAATATATATAAATATGTATGTATGTATGTATATATGTATGTATGTATGTGTGTACGTGTGTACGTATATAAATATTTAAATAGGCATGTGTGCATGCAAATAAGTATAAATATATATTGTCTTATATCACAAACCTTCCGCTGCGCTGAAAGCTAAAGAAACATATTTTAAAAAATCGTCTTGCTATGCGTTTCTCGTGGATTCATGTAAGCTTGTGTTGGCATTCGAATTAACTTTAATTATGCTTCTTCATAATCCCCTCTGATTAACTGTCCATCTTCCTTTCGTTATTAGATTATTTCTTCTACCAAGTTCCCAGTCGAGCAATATTAAAAGTAGCTTCTTAACAACTGCCTACATGAGTTTCATAATTTTTCACATCAACGACCCAGTCATCCACACTAATAAAATCGATTTTCTTAGAGGCAAAGCTATTCACTTACAAACAACCAAAGGCGAATTGTATTTGTAAGAACTTCCATGCTGAATTTTAATGAGCTGCGAATCACATTTGCTGAGCGTCACACGCTTTTTGACATTCCAAGCTGTAAGTACTTCGATATATCCGTATATCCGGCGGACTTGTGTGCACTTTCAGCGGTCAAATGGAACTAAAGACGCGACCGAGCGGCAGCCAAAACATAATTGAGAGCCCAATTAGAAAGACAATGCTAGAATACTAAACAATTTTCAGCATGCTCAGTCAAATTAATTTGGTGAAAAAATGAGCTGAGAAATGAAGGAAAAATAATTATACACATTTGCTAAAAGGTTTGACCTTTGCGGAGGTTAAGCGGGAAAAGCTATAATAACAATTCATGTCCAGCTTTTTTTTCAATTTGATTTTTATTCATTTTTTTGTAGTTTTCTATTAATACATTTTTAAAATTCGATAATAACGTGTTTCTGCATTTCGTTGTGTTTATCAAGAATTTGTATTGTATAAAATAATTACTCAATGAACTTTGAGCGTGAGAGACATGTGAGAGTTTCTTTTTCTTCTTGTTGTTGTTTGTTTGATCTACAGAGACAACATTGATGCAACAATGATTTTTTTTTTTGTGATTTTTTTTGTTGTTGTTTACATTTTATATACATATATATTGATATTATAATTAAGCGGCATAATTGTTTATAAATACAATACACACAAATTGTGAAGAATACTAAATGCAAAAATGAAACTAGATACAAAAGTGTCAGACTGAGAGTGTGGATGTGTATGTGTGTGTGTGTGTGAGTGAGATAGTCGTAGAGAGCGTCAGTTGAGCGTTGAGTAATAAGAGGAAAGAGAAAGAGTGAGCGAGAATGAGATAGTTGAGTGCGTGAGACAGCGAGCGTGTGGGTGAGAGTTCTTGACAATATGTTGAAATATTTTTTTCAAGCGTAACTTGAATGGCTGAATCGAAATGCACGAAACGCACGCGCCAAGGTATCACAAGAGTAGCTGTATCTATGGCCCAGTGCTTGCCAAACGGTGCGTCAAATGAAATGGCACAAAATGCTCCCGTTGCTTAAATATTAAACAATCTTGCGGAGCTGGCACGCCCCAAGCTGTTAGTAGGACGTGGCAGTTCTTCAATTGACCACAGTTTTTTTTTATATGGCGCCAAAGGCATCACCATAAGAGCGACAGATAGAGAGAGTGATAGTGAGAGAGAACGCATAAATATATTACAAAAGTGAGAGCGGAAGAAATTGAAAGTTGAAGAAACTAGTTTTTTGATAGACAAATAGTTGTGGTTAAGTTCTGAAAGATGCCTTTGCGAATTGGTTTGTAAGAACAGCTGCATTTGTGATTATTTTTCGTGCTGACCTTGACTTGTGCTCGATGCTGAATGGTAATGGGCGGAAGTGGTTAAATATAATATGAAACATTGATTAAATATACAAAATATACAAAAATATATATATCCATATATATGTGCATTCAAAAACTTTGCCTCGTTTGCAACTATGATTTCTGCTGCTGCTGCTGTTGCTTCAGTTTACGCCTTGTATCAAAACATTATCAACGTTCGCCAACATCATCATCATTATCATCATCATCATCATCGTCATCGTCATCATCGTCATCATCATCATCATCATTCTCATACTCGTGCTATGATCAAGATCAAGTCATTATGCTTTTGTTTTTGTTTTTTTGTTTTGTTTTGTTTTTGTTCGTATTTCCTTCGTCCATGCCATGCCAGATCAGCCGGGTGCCGGGCACCCACTAAGGTGCCCGTTTCTACTAAAAACTTCTTAGCTACATTTTACTTACTTACAAAAAAAATGTACACGTATTAACGATTTTTCAATGGATCTGTTTTATCTGCCTGTTGTTCCTATATATTGATTGCTGTGTTTGCGGTTGCTTGTGGGGGAGAGAGCACCTTCATGACTCGACTGCTCGACGGCCTTTAGTAGTGGTGCAGTAGCGGGGCGTGTGCCAGGACTGGAGCGTGCACGACGGGCGCATGGGCGATGATCTTGGGCGCGGTCTTGTGGACGACGGCATTAAAACCGTTATGATCATCGGCAGTGTAGTCTACGGTGCGCACAGAGCCATCGGGCTCGACCAGCGAGTATTGGCCTGGTCAATGCATAAAAGAAGAATTGATGGCAATTAGTTAAGCAGTTAGTGTATGTCAAGTTTGTTGTCTAAGTCTTTTACTTGCATTCAGTGTTCTATGCCAAACAAGTTTGTCGCTTGAGTGTTTGCAGCATAAAAAGTATGTTGCCTAAGTCTTTTGCTAGCATATAACGTTTGTTGCTTAAGTCTTTTGCTGACATAAAAAGTTTATTGCCCAAGTCTTTCGTTAGCATTCAATGTTCTATGCCAAATAAGTTTGTCGCTTAAGTCTTTTAATTTCATAAAAAGTTTGTTGCTCAAGTCTTAAGCTTACATTCATTGTAATATGCCAAAAATGTTTGTCGCTTAAGTCTTTACAGCATATGAAGTTTGTTGCCTAAGTCTTTGGTTTGCTTTTAGAAAATTTAAATAATTTTTGGAGCTATTGCGTTTTCTTTGAGGCATTTTATGCAAATTCCTCTGTTTCATATTTGTTATGCACATCAAACCCCGCCCAACTCACCCTTCACAACATCACCATCACGCTCCTCAGCCTGAGACTTGATATCGCCGGTGTGGGGATCCTTGATGCCATAGTTGAAGGAGTATTTGGGATAGGCCACCGGCTCCGCATGCACAGCATGGGCCAACACTGGGGCATGATGCACCTGCAACAATGATGGACCATAGTGACCCAGCTCAATTGGCACAGCTTGGGCGGCGGCAAGCAGCAGAGCAATGGCAACAAAGTACTGTATGTGGGCGTGTTTATGTGTGTGTGGGTGTAGAAGAAGAGGCAGAAAGTGAGTCCTTGCTCGATCGCAACGTTTGTCATACGTTGTTTTTTTTTTTTTTTTTTTTTTTATTATTTTGTCGTACCTTCATTTCTATTGAGCACAGACGACAGCACACGACGCGAACAAAAGGACGAAGGATTCGTTTCAAATTAAACTGAACTGGCACAACTGTGGCTTTAGGCACGGCTAAGACGCTTTAGAGGACCGTTTATAGCACGAAATCGTAAGCTGAACTGATGTCTGCAACGATGACCAAAAGTATTTATATACGCGCAGGCGATGCCAGCGAGCACGACGACATCGATGGCGACGGCAGCAACAGCAGCAGCAGCAGCAGCGAGTCGATTCGTACGAGTTGCAGCTGCAGCGGGCAGCGGCAGCGGGCAGGAAACGAAGACATAGACACAGAGACCACGCATGTGCCGGCTGAGATCGCTGCTGCAGTTGCCGTTGCTGCTGTTGCTGTTGCAGTTGCTGTTGCTGCTGTTGCCGCTGGGTGCGGCATTTTCTTGGGCTGTGAAGGCGTTGCTAGCTCTTGTGACTTGGTTTTCGGCAGTTGTGTGTATCTGTTAAGGACAGATAACGGAGCAATTGAAAGTGACACTTTGCCAAAGCTGTTGTTGTTGCTGCTGCTGTTATGGCCTAAGCTGTTTATTTATTGATCGGTTGCGGTAATTACGACTCACAGTCGGAGGCAGTTTTAATAGCTGCGACAGCGACTTTGGTCTCTGCAAATATTATTACCATATCTGTGGCAGGCAACGCGCGGCGTTATAATTACCACAAACGCAACAGAAACAACAGCAACAACAACATGCTTGACGCAATTTGTTGCACGACATTTTTTGTTCAAAGAACTTTTGTGTGCGTGCATTTGTGGAATTTCGATGTTGGCAAATGCTCGCATATTTTGTTTTGCTTATTTCTATGCTCTTTGTTTTTGGCTACGCATATCAAACGTCGTTCAATCAACATTCTGTTGTGACATATGACAACTTCAATTTGTTGCCATGAGAGCCATTCGGATTAGTTGCTTGTATAGTTTTCTTGTAACGTTTTCTGAAATAAAAAGACAACAAATAAAATATTTTCTAAGCCAAACATATATTTGCAGAAAACCCTTTATGACAAATTTGTGTAGTTGAGTTTTTTAATCTAAAAGACAAACCATAGCCGAAAAGCCCCCATTTATTTAAATCGGTTGAGTTTTGAGAAAGCTATGAAGTTTGTAGTTTAGTAGAGATTTACTAGGGTATTTTATAGGGTCTTGGCACTTAAGTCCAAACTTGTTGCATATTTTGGTTTGTTTTTTGCCCGAGAATATGATCCTGTCAAAGTCTCTTTAGGACTTTTAAATCAGTTCAATTTTGACAAAGTTTTAACAAATGAAAATAGCTTGAAAATTGTTCAATTTTGACCAAATTATGATATGTAGAAATAGTTTACTCAGATCTGAGTACAGGGTAGCGTCCGTTCAGTAATACGACTTGAGTCTTCTTACTTGACTGAATAAATTCTTAGGCGAGCTAACCTTTGCATTAATTAGGTGATATTAATAAATTATTAAATTCAGTAAACCAACCAGTTAACCCAAAATCGCAGTTTCAGCATCAATATGAATAATCCAGGCGTAACAAAAATGGGTCTTGCCCAATTCGTGGCCACATGGGGCGTTAGATTTTCCATGCTCATGATGTCAAATTTGGACACGTTGACTTGAAATTTCTTGCAACGCCCACGCAAACAGTTTTGTGGCAAGTTGCGGGCATGCAGCAAGCAACAAGCAATAAACAAAAAAAACAAGAAACGACAAAATGTTCTTGCATGACATATCAGAAAATTATTATTATATCTTGTAGTCAAAAGAGCACACAAGTGGCCAGGACAGACAGACGAACACATGTGGCAGCAACGATGGGAAAAAAAGCAGCGCAAAGTTTGTTTTGCACGAAACAAAGGTGCAAAGCAGACTTGGCCAGAAAACTGCAGTTAAAGCTACTAAAAGATCATTTGTGTGGCTGGGAAGGCCCGCAACGAAAACAGAATCGACTTACATAAAATGACTTTAAAGGCGACACATTTACAAGGCGCACCAAAACCGAAATAAAAAACGCTTTGAAACAATTGTGGGCTAAGAAAATGCAAACAGCAATAACAACAACAATGCAGCTGAGGCAGCCACAGGCTTTGCAAACAAGTTGGCCACGTCACGATCGCGATCGCACTTTGACGGAGCAGAGCGGAGCGAGGGGGTGTTTGGCTAGATTGGAGCCTTTGGAGTTTAGTTGGTTAGTTGGTCAGCGGCGGCTGAAATGAGTGGAACACGCTTTGTCTTTGTCGAACACAACAGCGTTCGATGATTGCGCAACAAATGCGGCACAGTTTGAGAGCCATTGCATGGCGCATTGTTTGTCTGCGGGGGCGACATGCACGATGGCTGCGTTAATTGCCGCCGCTGCCGCTGCCGCTGCCTCTGCTGCTCTTGTAGCACCTGTGCCACTGTCAACGCATGTCAGAAATATGCGCGCCACGCCATGCACTAAAAATTGCCAATCGAAATGCAAAATCGCAATTCCAAATCGATTGCCTCAATCATCAAACTCCAATTCCAACTCCGACCGAGTGTCAGGTTGCTAAGTAGAACGAAGTTTTTTAATCTTGATTTATGCGGCACATGCAAAAATATTTTGGACAATGGTTTGGTTTTTTTATTACTTATTTTATCTGGCGGTTCTCTTGAACATTTAAACGCACTTTGCTGTGATTTTAATGACTTATCTGTTCTGCATTGACATTGATTTATGCACATTCATGCAAATGGTCAGTTTTAGAAAGGCCGCTAATCCGCATTCAAAGTCGCCAGGCTCGAATGTAATTTAAGCTAAGTCTAGCTATTATTTTTGCTTTTATTGGTCGCACTACGCTGCGTATGCGTAATATGGCATTTCCTGCCACAGTTCAGCTCAGTTGCTTCTGCTGCACATCCGCTGTGGCTGCCTTCCCATGGGAAGCTTGTATACATTTCATTTCCCAAATGTAACATAAAACGCTGCGAACAATACGCCTATTACGCATACGCAGCGTTCGCCCAGAAAGTCAAAGACTTTTGTTCCTATTCAATTATGTTTTATTGTCAAAGAATTATATAACTGGTATACCAAGGTTTAGATTCTGAAGAAAATATATACAAAAATTGTTAGAAAATGGAAAAGATTCCCAACAGTTTTTGCAAAAATATAGACAAAATATGAGATTTATATAGTCTAAAATTTATTTATAGTGCGGTAAGCCCTTTTAAAGTCAAAATTTAACAGCTGCTTCTGGGTTGTACATTATTATTATTTTTTTTTTCTGAACATTGCATCGTTAGCTAATTAAAACATTTTCGCTGGCATTCTTGCACGTTTGGCCAAACTGCATGCTGTCCAGTTTTGGAGCTGGCCCGTCATTCTAAGCGGCACGCCATAAATCTTCGGCACATTGCCGCAATCCGTAGGCATCGACTCTTGGGATGCTATTAGAGAGAGATGCCTGAGCAGATGCTGGCAGCCAGGCGCTTGTCAATTAGGCACACACGATGCCCAGTCAAATGCCAAAGAGCTGCCAACCCAATTGTGTCGCCAACTCAATTCTCCAAATACTAACTGCATTTGGTCACGCTGCCAGCTGCCGGCTGCTCCTGCTCCTCCTGCTCCTCCATCTCTCCTCTTCACCTGCTGCTGCTCTCGCGGTGCCATTCAGTTAGTCAGTTGGTTAGTGCCATTTCGGCATCATTACCGCATCGTCGGTGCCTGCACAAAAAAAAAAAAAGTCCATAGTCGTTTGATCCAATTTCGTTCGCCGCCTCCCTCTGCCATGCTCTGCGCCGCCCCCCTGCGCTGTCGTTTTGATTTTCGCACATTTAATGCGATTTTGCACATTTGCGCGTATGAATTAAGCGAGTGACGAAATGGACTCGCCGGCCAGGCAGTCCGGCCAAGTGGAGCACACACTCAAACAGATTTCAGAGATGTTGTGCGCGACTTTGCAACTAACTCGTTGCCTGCCTGGTTGGTTGGTGCAATTGCCAATTGCTGCTGCGCCTGATTGATTCCGATCGAACGCAACAACAACGCACACGCTTCACTGCAGCAGCAGCAGCAGCAGCAGGCTCTGCGACGTCTCTGTGGCCATCTAGTTGGATTACGCAAAGCCATTCCCAGCAGCAGCAAAATCAACTGACACATATTTCAATTAGCTTTTGCTTTAGATTTAACAAAAAGCATATATTTTTTGCTTATATAAGGCATATTTAATGCATTTAGTATTTAAGCTAAATATGCCAGCTAAATACCGTCAAATACCAAATGCAACAAGCTAGTTGAGGTGTACAACAGAAAAATAGCTTAACATACTTTTTTTTTGGTAATTTTGATCATTTTAGTATTTAATATAAATAGCAATTATAATTCAACTTATTAGAGCTCTTAAAAGAGTTGCTTACAAAATTTTGCTTTTTATTTTGTGTTGGTATTTTTTCGGTATTTTAATAATTTTGGTATTTCACAAAATTACCGAATTTATAAATCCACTAAGAAGAGAAGATTGAAAAATTTTGAGCATATGTTTTGTGATTATCACAAAAATACCACGAAATAACTATAAAATTCATCTTTATACTAGAAAATGACAAACTAGCATAAAAAATTCAATTACACTTACTTTTCTTTTAATTTTTTGTATATCACAAATAATAATTCACAATCGATTTTTAATCTAGAAAAATTGGTAAAAAAAATTAGTACGACAATAATACCGAAAGTTATATATACGTTATGTGTACATAGTCTGGTATATTGCGGTATATTTAATCGCTCCTAATACTCTTCGCTGCTGTCCGTATCCTCCAGCTGCTGCTGGCTATGCGTATTCGCATCCTCGTAGCCCTCCTCGCTGCTGCCCTCGTATTCCTCATGATCGCCCCCGCCTTCGTTCTCATTGTCCTCATTCTCGCCCTCATCATCTTCGTCATGGTCCTCATGCACCTTATACTGACCCTTGCCCTTTTGTGGTGCAGCTGGCAAGGGTTCTGCCTCTTCCTCCGCATCCTCCTCGGCCTCCTCCCCCTGCTGCTGCGTGCCAGCACTATTATCGCCATCGTCTTCCTCCCCTTGCACTTCGTTGGCCTGGTCGTGTTCCACTTGCTGCTGCACATGAACGCCACCAGCATCGCTGCCATGGCCATGGAGTGTGGCAACACCATTTGTGATTACCTCGGCCTGAAAGCCGTTCGTGTCGTCCGCTGTGTATTTGACCACGCGCAGGGTGCCATCAGGATCGACTACGCTGCGTGTTGGCGTTGTTAATGAATGCGTTGACATGGCAACCGCGGCATTTACCTACCTGTAGACGCCGCGCACCTCGTCGCCGTTGCGCGTCTCTTTGCGATTCTGCAGCACACGCGTCTGACCATCTTCGATGCCATAGGCGAAGCTATATTCGGGTCGTGCCACATAGTCGGAGTGCGTGCCACCGCCATAGGCATCGGGCACGGCTACCAGTCGCTCCGGCCCCGCCACCGGACCCTCAAATCTCGTATAGGAATAGCCAATGGCCGAGCAGCCGGCAAATGTTGAGAAGATCGCCAACGCCAGCAGCGGCAGCGGCAGCCACGAGCCGAGTAGGTGCAACCGCTCGACGCGTGCCGTCGCGGACGTAACGCGGAAGCACAAACAACAAGTGGCAAATGTTGTCGTCTTTGGTGTTCCAGCTGCGTGGCCGGTTATGCGTTGTCGCTTCTTCATGGCAGTTATTGTTGTTGTTGTGGTTGCTGTTGTTGATTGAATTTCAATGTTTTTATTTGCTGTCGTATCTCGTTTTGATTGGCAGCGCGTTTTATGTGAGCTAACTTAATCCTCGCCAGAGTTTTGCGTTTGCATAAATACTAAGCGTGAAATGTTGCACTTCTCGGGTATTTATATAGTTTTTCGCACTGGCCAATTGGGGAAAGGTACACCACAATCATTTGTTCATATTTCCGCACAAATTATGCGCTTCAATGGGCACCGCATCCAACTGGAACTGGCCAAGAGCGCCCGCCAGATGATGCGGTCGTCCACTTGCCCCTTTGATGGGCAGCAAATTGCACACTTCCTAAAACATAAAATGACGTCATTAAATTCAAGAGACGTCTAACTAAGGGCATCATATTTAAAGATTTGGCACACTTAGATAATTTAGCTGCAAAACCCAAACAAACTTTTCGATAGTTCGGTATTTTATTCAAGTAGAAAAGGTCTTAAAAGTAATGTAAAACAGGTAATACTTGATTCAGGTATGAAATTTTTAATTCATGGATGACTTAAAGTACGAAAAAACTTGAATCAAGTTTTTTTTACTACGCTCTTATCCTAATTAAGAATTACCACCAACACTCAAATTATCCCCATTTTCATAATGATAAAAGGCTAATATAGTCTGAAATTGAGTCCTTGAATCAAAAACATAGAAACTTAATTCAAGCTCAAACTTGATTGAGCTCAAGATAAGTTTATATTAATCTTAATTCAAAATGTATTCTATCAATCCCATTCTGTTCTTAACTTAAAATCAAGTTGATCTTAAAAAAAGATTTTCTGATCATATTACAAATATATTTAATATATTAAATTATTGAATGTCACAATTCCTTCTTTTGATCATGATATATAATCCATGAATATATATATTTATCTAAGATTCTGGTACGAAAGAAGATTTATTTTCACATTATAACGTTTTAATTTTATTAAAAAAATAGTATTTAATATTATGTCTATAAACACTTTATCGTTGCGAATTTAAAATCCTATTAATTGCCTTGCATGCTTGCCCATTTATGTGCCCATCATAATTTCGAGTCTTATTGACCAATTTGTGCCCGAGGCTTGGGCACACCTGTCCGCCGCAGCAACGGCATCTAAACACTCTCTGAAAATGTTCGCGTCAAACATGGAAATCGCTTTAAGTGCGTTCAGCTGATTAGCCGCACAGCCCGCCGGCTGGAGGCGATGCTTATAATGCGCCTGCTTAAACATCGAACAGTTCGAGTCATGATAGTCATGGCAAAAAATGCAAAAAAAAAAACGCAGCTGTGCAGCTTTGACCTTTTTTGTGTGAGGGTTCCGCCAAAGAAATATGGCTATTATTTTGACTACTTCTAATTTATAAGCGAGGCGCATTGCTGCGGCTGCGGCTGCTGCAACTGTTGTTTGGCATGAAAAATGCATATATCATTGGCCTCTGGTACTTGACGGCTGTTTGTTTGGGCTTTAAAGCGCGCACAGTAGCCCAGGCCAGGCGGACAGACGGACAGACCGGGCAGCTGGGCAGCCGGTCAGCTAGGCAGCTAGGCTGGCCCATGAGGCGGGCAATAGCAGCGTGGGAAAACTTGTTGTTGTCGACGAAGACGACGAGGCGCTTAATTACCCATTACACAAATGCCGCTTGGCAGCTTTAAGAATCGCAATTCGCAAGTTTTTGGTTTTTGGCTATTAACGCCAGCGTTTGGTAGTCGTAATTAAGACGCAGACGCAAGCTGCTGGATGTGTTGGCCTCAGTTCGTTGCCTAAGTCTTTCGTTTTGCCCTTTAGCGGCACGCAACCGAATGAGCCAAATGTGCCATTGCATTATGACTTATGTTGCTGTTGCTGCTGATGTTGATCCATGTTGCAATGCAAATCGTTGTCATTGCTTTTGTTGTTGTTTTTGTTGCTGTCGCATGAGGGACAACAACTGTGCAATCAAAGTCTATTAAAAGCAAAACTAAGCCACATGCCAAAAAATCATGTTGCTGACCAAAATGAGAGCGTGCGCCTCGCCAGACAAAAGCCTAAATAGTCAGCAGACAACGTCCAGGTGTCTAAAGGGGGGCGATCGGTCGGTGGGGCTGTCTGTGAGGGAGACAATCTGCCTGGCAGATTTCTTTCTTGCAATAAATTGCATTTACTACACGCTGCGCTCTGTTTCTATCTTTTATTTTTGCTATTATGTAAGTCAACAACGTTCCAGTCTCAGCTCACAGCTTACAACTCACAGCTTGCAATGCCCCGTTGCCAGTTCCAGTTCTCCACTTTCCCCTCCCGTCCTCTCCATCTTTATGCGCCACTTTTCACCATTAAGTGCTCTGGTTTGTCTCTAGCTTTGATTTCGTTTTCATTTGCGTCGTCAGCCTGGTCAGCTTCAGTGCCCCAGCAGCTCGCGATTGCAACAGCTTCAAACAACAAACCAAGACAGGCAGACAAACACACACACACACATGCACACACACACACATACGCACACACATACGCACACAAATGCCTGTAATGAAAATGAAATTGAAATGCGAGTGCGAGTAAAAGCGGTTCCATTAGCCACTTTGCCATGCGACTCTCTTTGTGTGTATGTGTGTGTGTGACGGGATTCTACAAGAAACCACAACAAAAATATGTCAAAAATATTTCATAAATTTGAAATTTCTTGCAAACAGTGTTAAGCGATATAAAGTAAACAAATAAATCAAACTATTCGCACGGCAGACTGTTTAAACCAGAACAGAGCGATTTTACTTCTTCATCCGCTTCGGGCCTGACAGTCTGTCTGCCTCTGCAGCTTCTGAAGACACTTAACTTGACCACAATTCTTACGAAGTTACTGAAATTATATACTTAAAACTTGGTACATTCACTTTTAAGAGTGTGTGTTCGGTCCTCAAAGTTGGTATAAAAAAACATCATAAAGAAATCAGGATAATGGTTTGCTTTACAAACGTGACGTCATGCCCCTGCTTGGCTGTGTTGACTGCGCATTGAACTAATAACTAACTTTTGTCATCTAAATCTGGCAACATTATTCTTGGTCAAAATAAATCAAATCCATAGGTCAAAATTTCCCATCAGTTATCTTATACGTAGGCTAGTCTAATATATAAGACATCAATCTGTCAGATTTTATATAAAGTATTAAATAAATTATTTAAGGCTGGTCTTTGGCAGCCTTTCCTTAATGAATTAAGATCAAAAATTAAATATTTAAAATAAATAATTCAAGTAAATTTCAGGCTAAACGCCTAAAACTGAATATGTTTCGCCTATCGACTGAATCTAATGTCAAACTCTTGCAACCGGGCAACATGCGTAACTCATGTCACGTTGCATGGTCACGCAATGGCCGCTGCTTATCTGCAGCTTGGACAGCAGACCGGCAACTGGTGGCAACTGTCGATTTTTCACCTTTTTGCACCCTGTTACAATGTGCGAAAACAAATGCGCGTATTTCAGTTTTGACAATGCACAAAATGCGTGTCACATAAATTGACGCAATGCGAACCATGCGGCCACTATCAAGTGCACCTACACACACACAGACACACATAGAGCTGCCACAACATGGTGTCGAGGTGCCAATTAAAGCTACACGCCAGACCAAAAACCAAACAAAATGGAACAGAACCGGCCAAAGTTTTGAGATTCGATGCGATTCGTTTCGATTCTTGGCGGCGTGTTTTATGCACCTTTGACATGCAAGCCGATCGAACGGGCGGCGAGTCCACGCTGACTCGGCACAGTTTACACGAAACACCAGCAACAACAACAACAACAACAGCAGCAGCAGCAACAAATGCGATTGCATTTGTTTTTTTTTATAAAATAGTGCAAAAATTACGAAATTTGTCGTCTGACAAAAAGCGCAGAAAACGTTATAAATTAAATTTACAATTTTGGTGCTCATTAAATGCCGAGCAGAGCGGCAGCAAATGTTTGTTGTCGCAATTGTTGGCCATTGAATAATGGCTAGAAAAGGGTATATTGACTTAGAGCAAATTGTGGGTAACAGGCAGAGGGAAGCAGCTCCGACTCCATAAATTATATGTACATATATTTCTTCTATATATATGCAATCAGAAGGACGAACCAAGTCGATCTAGCTACATCCGTCTGTTTGTCTGTCGATTTGATTCCTTTAAAAAAAAACTGATGACTGAAATATATATTCTCGCATATTAATTGCAGCATAAGTCACTTCTTTCGATATCTGCTCCAATATCCATAAATCGATCAAAATCGATTTCGAGAATTGGTTTTATAAGCATAGCATGAACACTATAAGAGCTATGTTTCGAATCACTTTAGATAATTCCCTCCCAAAAATTGGAAAAAAAAAGAGATTTATAAAGATAAAGTATGCACATACTTCTATAGGTCATATGGACTATAAGCGCCGATGCCAATCAAGAATGCATTGTCCATTAAATAGTATGTGTTAAAGGGAAGAAGACGGGGAGTGCCTTTTTCTCGTGCACAGCAGAAAGCTAGAATATTTGCGACGGCAGCTTGTTGCTGAGCCTAGGGTGTCTACCAGTCGCGCGCGCTTGCATGTTGCTCTTGTTGTTGTGGGCTGTACGAGTATTTTGGTAAAAATTTAGAACATCGCCTTGGGAAAATGCCAAAATGTCTTTAATTGTTGCCAATTTCGGGTCACTTTAAGTCGCTTTGCTTTGTTGTTGGGCCGTTAAATTTTCTCGCGTTTGTCACAAATTGAATAATGTCTCAATTGAACAGCAACAACAATAAAAACACAAAACAAACAAGTTAACATTGTTTGCAGTTGTTTGCACAGTTCACAGTTGGCCGCTTAAATCGCGCAGCTAATTACGTGCTAAGAAAAACTCAATAAAGACAAGGCCCAAACATTATATAATGCCGCTTTTTGATACAATTTTCACGATTATATATAGCTATTTATATAGTATATGTGCGCATATCCTGGCAGCAGCTGCTCAAAGCGCGGCGCTAGAAAGTGAAAGGCAAACATGAAAACGCCCACTTGGCACTTGAATATATATATATATATATATATATATAAACATGCACATGGACGTATATATATAGCTTACTATAACTAGATTTTTATATAATTGTAACCAATTTTTTTTTTGACTAATTTGCCTGCGCTTGGTAGCCAAGAAACGAATGACTCGGACAACGAACTTGCTGCCGCAGCAGCCTAAAGACTCGAAATTAGAGCAAACGGCCTACTAACTAACCAACTGAACTGCATTAGACTAAGCGCAATTTAAGCAAACCGGTAGCCAGTCAGCCTCTGGCTATCCGACAATCGCACCACTGACCAACATATGCCATAGACAACAACAGCAACAACAACAGCCGGCTGGCTGGCTCAGAGATCGATACAAATATGGGTCAGCTTGTGACGCGGCAAACGTGGACATATCTGATTGTCTATGCGGCAAATGCAATTTTAATTGCCAATCATCAGTGGCCAAAACTGCTGCCGGTTGTATAAGTGCGAGAAATCTTTAGCTGAACAATTGCATCTGTGGTCTTATCTGCAGATCGAACTGATTTAGCATATGACCAAAAGTAGATGCCTATGTCCGCACTTCAGTAAATGCTTCTACTAAAAACGCTATTTGAATTTTGTATCTTATGCTAATTTTATGGCTAATAATTTCTTACCCCAAAGATTCCCTCAAAGATTATTATGAATCCGTAAGATACTTTGCTTAGCATCAATAATAATGTATATTCAAGTATTTATAACATCGTATCTTAGAGATACTTTTTACTTAACCAAAGTAACTTGTGGGTCATAGATGCTATTGCATCTTAAAGATACTTTTGGAATATCAAAATAACCTTCATGTATGTATGCCAAGGTCACGTTTGTATTAGGCAGATTTTTTATACCAAATGTAATAGGTTACTTACAGATAGTTTTGTATCTTAAAGATATATGATTTGTGTCTTAAATATTTGAATAAAATAAAAGATTGGTTTTAAATACAATTGAAGCTAAAAGAGTGCTCAGAAGGTTGAAGCACTCGAGTCGAGAACTCTTTTCAAAGTCTTTGAACGCTAACAAGATTGAGTATGAGATAACTATGATCTCAATGCTTGACTGTCAGTCGTTTTCAGAGCTCACTTTTGCCCCATAAACGTCGACAATTATCTAAGAATCTCAAAGTGCCGCGCCTTCAAGAACGCGCATGCGTAATAGCCTTTTTAAGAACCCAACCCCACATATGCTGCCGCCCACGGCAAATGATCTTCATGTTACCATATACCATAGCTAATAAAAGCCAAATCGATTTCAATGTTCAATAACTTAATTAAGTGCAGATTGGGGTTAAATTTGCATGTAAATTGCGAATTGCATGCACTTTGCCAGGCCAGGGGCCGGCACAGGGGCGTCTGCGCAATCATCTTTGGAATATGAAATTGATAAATCGATACGATTCGAATCGGGCAATTAAATAAATATACGATACGGCAATTAACCAGTTGACTTATACAGACCCGGCCATTATAACGAAGAACAAATAATTGGCGTTGATTAAACTGCGCCAAAAGCTACAGTTAATTGACATTTAAGGCAATTCATTACTTAACTTTGCTAAAAAAATATAAAACAAAAAATAAAACTAAAAAGCAACACATATGCGAGCTAATAACGTCTGCGGGGGCTGTTCGATTTTGGGCACAGCTGTCTTTAAATACCAACCGAATGGAGCCAAAAGCCATTGCTAATTGCATTGACTGCTGCCGCAGCAGCAGCAGCGGCAGTTATTTTTGTGGAAATGCAGTTTTCACATGCTCGACTTTGGTTTCTGCGCGTTTTTTCTTCAAAATTTACATACGTACTCCTGTGTGTGTGTGTGTGTGTGTGTGCGGCGCCACAATTCTCAGGCTGTGCAATTGAACATTGGAGCACTTGTTGTTAGCGGCAATTAATGTTAGTTGCAGACGGACTGCATAAATCAGCCTAATTGCTATATTTAAATTCTAAATTTGGTTCTTTTTTCCAAAATTAAAAAAAAAGGCGCACGCTTGTCGTGCACAACTGAATGTCGGACCCGACCTGCTCAGCAAAAACATTGGCTTGTTTGTTTTTTTGCATGTAATATATGCATAACATTAATTTTGCTGCCAGCAAGCAGGTGGTACGGTTTTTATTTTCCAAAATTAGTTTTTTTTTACTTTTCAGTGGGTTTTCTTAGAATATCAATTAAAACGCTTGCATAAACAGGGAACCCTTCTCTATTAGTTTTAAACTGCGCGCGTCCAATGAACGACAAGCTGTTAATGGTTGCAGTGTTGTATAACGTGCGCGCACACTACCGCCACATTCGCAGCTGGTATGCTGCTCACTAATGCCAGGCTGTTGAAATAAATATAGGACAAATAAGGGAATTTATTAAGAGTTAATATTGTATATTTGTAAATTATAACAATGATATATTTGTTTATTTACTAGCAAGAAGTGTTATTTAATTTATTACATATATATTTTGATAACACTTTTCAGAGCTGCGTACTGGCCGTTGGACTATCGATAAATTTGATATTTATCGCTAACCGGCTTTGCAATTTTGCACAGCAATTTTGTTTACGTTTTGTTAAAATGTCGCTGTCGCCGAAAAATAGCGATGCATCAATGAATAAAGAAGCGAACGACGGCGACGTTGAAAGGGCTAAGAATTCAAAAGCCACGGATGCCATGGAAACGGATGACCGGCCAGCAACAATCAATACCAAAGACATACATTACGATGCCGACAGTGAGATGAACGAATCGGGAGCAGAGGATGCGGCGGCCAAGCGAGAGCCGACCACAGATGAGGATGTGTCCACGGTGATTGCACCGGCTAATCGGTCCACCTCTGATCCCATATCCAAGCAGAATTGCAAATGGAATCTGCGTGTCATCATCTCAAATTTGTATATGCAAACCGAGCAGCGACTGCCCAGCGCTCGTGTGCCCAAATGCCTGCACAATACGAGCCAGTGCGTGAGCAAGCATCGCTGTGCCATGCTGCCGGATGCGCCGGACATTGGGATTGCCCAGGAGCTACGCAACAATCTATATAGCCAGCACTATGAGACATATCTGGATATGCTAGAGACAATGGCTCTGCAGTCTGTCTATCCGGATGAGGCGGTGTTTGATCGGCTGCTCGATATGATTATGGTAGGCTTGAATATACTTTGAGCTATTGAGCTAGCTATTGATGCTGTCCATTTATTTTAGATACTCAACACCAAGAGCCTGACCCTTGATGAGCTGCACAGCAGATATAGAAATGTGATACGCATTTATTATCTGCTTGTGGATGCATTTCCACCCTGCTGGACAGCGTTGCGTCCCTACTATTTGAATTTTCTGGGCATCACCAATGCCACAGACGAAAAGCCACAAAAGTTGCAGCTATTGCTGGATTTGTTAGACGATTGCCTGGCCAAATGCAGCGACTCGGAGATAAGTCGACTATCGCCCTACTACGAGCAGTTTGTCCACGATTTTGCCGAGGAAGAGAATGCAAATATGTCGCCAGAGGAAGTGTTTCTGTGTCATGTGCAGGACTACGACTGGCAGAGTGGCAAACAGTGGGTGGATGAGTTTAAGAAAATGTCAGCAGCTGTGCAGCTGGCGCGTCTCTGCGATGCTCTGGACATGTTATGTTGGGTGTTGGAGCGTGAGTTTATGGCCTGGTTGGATCACAATCGTTTGCAGCAAACCGAGCCGGAAATCTTTCAAGAGGACTCGAAACCTTTTGTGCTCATCGTCTTTGGCATGACAAAGAGCACGCGGCTAACGAATATAACGCGCCAGCTGCTGCGCTTGTATAGCCGAGCGGCAGCCAAGTCCTTGTATCCGGAACGCCTGAGGATATTAGAGGTATTTGCATTTATCTATCTAGCTGAGTATTTGCCTTAATTTGAAGCAATTTTCCTCACAACTCAGCGCTATGTGTCGCTTATCATGGAGGCGAGCAACACGGCCGAGCTGGTGTATGCAAATAATTCGCTGATTTATCCCAATCTGGGACCGCAGACACGTCGGCTCATCGGCGAGTTCTTTAAGCTATTCAAAACTGAAAATCCTGCAGATGTTAGCACCTATATTAAGACCATACCGAGGCTCAGTCAGTGCTATGTGCGTTACGAGTTTGCCGATCATTTTCTGCGTCTATTTTACTGCTCCGATGCGGGATTTGAGCCGGGCAAGGTGTGCGAGGAGCTGAAGGCGAAGCGTTGGCTCAAATACAAGCCACGCAGCGCCATTGAGGAGTCGGACAATGAGCAGTTGTCGCGTGAGGATTACCTAAAAATTATGCTCAATGCGCTCCGGGATTATTGCACGTGGCTGAATCTGCAAGCGTGTTGGAAATATATTAAAACCAAAGTCCCTGTGCAAACAAGGACGAGCAGTCCACTGGCCACGCCCGTGGGCGTTGTCACTGGCGATGTGGGCAAAATATTTATGCTCGACGAGATGCAAAAGGAGGCGCACACCTGGAAGCAGCGCATCAACTCGAAAGTCATTTTGTCTAGACCCAAAGTCAATCTGCCCGTGGCCAGGATCAGTGTGAGCACCATGGCCGAGCGTTATGGCGGCGATATACGACAGCTGCGCTATTTGCGTCGTGTGCTGCTGGAGGTGAAGCGCTTCGAGGATGTTACAGATTGGCTGGACTATGTAAATGATTTCCTGGGCGAAGATGAGCCATCATCAGAAACTGAGTCCCACAAAGAAAAAAGAGCACAATTGCCAGTGATAATTAAAACCTGAAGGTAAATTATAAATACGCCCATTAAAATAAGCCCAAAGAAGAATAGAAGTCAATAAGCAAACAAGCCGATCACTTGCGGTCACATCTCTAGTATTAAGTATTAAACAATATACTGGATTTCGAAGAAGTAATAATATAAATTTCAACATTTTCAAAAGAGTTCAAATTCGCCAAACTCGCAACGTAAGCGCACGGTCAGCGACGTAAACGCAATGTGAGCAGCGTAAACGCAATGTGAGCAACGCAAGCGCAAAAGCTACACGTTTTAACAGAAACTCCGCCAGCACTTAACAGCAAAGACATTTAACAGCAAACCCAATGCAGGATATTATCCTGTCTGGCAGCCAAAAAAAAAAAGAATACTTTTAGTTGATTTTAGCAGCACAACCCCGTCGCCAGCAGCAGGAGCAGCAAATGCTTGCCGTCGCGACAAACACGGAAACTTAACCAAGTGCTATTCAAATAAACTACAACTCGAGTGCAAAATTAAAATTGTACGTAAAGCAAAAACAACAACAACAAAAAAATGTGCCGTATAGTGTAACAGTAGCAAAAACAACAACAACGAACGTTGTGAGCACAGTGGTTAAAAAAGAAAAGAAAATAAGGAAAACGCAAACGCAAACGGGCCACAACAGCAAAAGCAAAAGAAAGCGCAGTCAAAATGTCGACAACTGTGGAACAGGTGAGCAAACTTGAAGCAAAACCAATTTAAGTAAATTTATGTAATTCCAAATATATATGGTATATATATACATATATATCTTCCTTTTTTTTTTGGCAAACCAATCAGTCATTAAGGCAATGTTACGGTATTTTAAACGGGCAGCCATTGCCGCCGACAACTGCGTAACATGCAGTGCCAGGCGGCCAACTGGCTGTCAGTCTGTCTCGCAGGCGGTCGGACTGTCTGTCAGTGTGTGCGTAGGTGTAGCCAGCTTGTGCTCAGCTTTTGCTCGCTGCCTCTCTCTACTTGGGTGTGTGTGTGTGTTAGTGTGCGTGTGTATTGGCATGTGCTGTGCCGTTTTGCATTGCCATGCCAACGGCGACGCTGGCACTTCCTGTTTGGCTGATATTGCCTCGATTTGACAGTAAAATTCGATTAATTTCTAATCTGTACATCAGCTTGGCAAGTGCCACAGCCAGACAGACTCGCAGACTTCATACGTATTCAGCGACAAATATAAATAGCTGCCATTTTGTCAGCGAATTGAAATGCACACACACACACACACAGACCCACAGTCAAACAACCACACACTCACACACACACACACACACACACACACACATTCAGTCAGTCACACGCATAGGACGCGCCAATGCATGCAAATTTCGTTTGCATATACAGTGAAAGCTCAACTAATGCTACAGCGGACATTGCCTTTAGCCGGCATATTTTTTGTTGTTCTTGCGTAAAGAGAGTTTTTCAACTAGATTTGAATTAGATTAAAAGACAATTAGGCTTCGCAGGCTTTTGATTCTAGTTAGTGAATTCCATTCCATTAAGGGACAATTGATATGTTTTTTCTCTTCAGTTTTAGTTGGAGGACCATTGTATTATTTATAGTGATATATCTTTGTCGATGGGCTACAAAGGTTACGCTAGGTTTGAACTGAATTGAAAACTTTATTTTTGTGAAAAAGTGCATTTTTCGCTTATTGCATCGTAATTTCAGTTAAATATTATTTGCGAATTTTTTGGCACCAAAATATAAAAGATTTCAATTGTACCTTTTTGCTTACAAATATTGATATTTTAATTTTTATATATTTGTTACCCGATCTTTAATTGAGTTTTGCGTGAATATTTGACTGTAATTTTGGTCATTTTTTGTTGAGAAAAAGAACGTCCACGTGTGTGTTGACTGTACCTCAATTCAATTCGTACGTTTGCTTGTCTGTGATTTGACAATTTGTTGCAAGAACTAGTCTAGCCCACCTCTTCCCCTCCCCATGCCACCTTAAGAGCTGTTCACCTGCTGGCAAATTGAAGTGCCCCATTTAAGTTAACTTCAAGACTTGAGGGGGGTCTTCCTCCAGCCCCCAAACATTGCATTGAAAACACAAGCTTTTACTTTGTGTCGCTTCAATTTTCTAATTGTAGCTTAATTTTATGTAAATTATCTTCCAACTCTCAGTTCCTTTGGCATGTCTTACTTTATTTTTTTGTGGTGCGTATGCTACGCGTAAGTCTCGCCTTTCAAAGTCACCGAAAACTTTTGTTGCATATTTCAAGGCGCGCATGTAGCGCGAGTCATTACGTTTTATAGACTTTATAAGAACTTCGCTGATGCAGTTTGGTCAAAAGTTTTCGCTGCGCTGTCAGGTGACTGCTCAGCATATTCTTATAAAGAAACATACACATACACATATAAATATATAGTATATGGTGTGTATATATGTACATGGAAAGTTAAAAACCGGCAAGAGAGAGATAGCGTAAAGAACGGAACGGCGCCTTTTTTTTGTTGAGCGGAAAGAAAAACATTTTCAAGCGTTTATGGCCACGAGGTATTATGGTGGCATTTAATATAAGTTTTCCGGGTAAAACAAGATTTAAGCTTCAAAGTGTGCTTAAATTTAAAATTGAATTCTCATTAAATTGTTTATATGCCCAACCCCACATGATAATGCACACAACACTCCTATTTGGCATTTAATATTAAATTTAATTATAATACAAATATAATCGCATTTAATTAACTTATGATTTGAGCGAAGCAAACATTATTGCATGAACTTTGAATGCGAAAGGATTTGAAAAGTTTTTAAATTACATTTAACTATGCTTTTGAAAATACTTGACATTCTTTTATGGCCACTTGAAAGCGATTCATTTTAATCAAAACTTTCTGTTGCTCCTTATTCCACTCAAATTCATGGAAATGTTGATTCTAACATGCCGCAAAAAGACATCCTACACGCATATATTTCGCAGAATTTTAATTGTAGTCATTTTTTGTTGTTGTTAATGTTGTTGGTAATTATATTAGCAAATGTGTGAGAGATGAAGTATATATATATATAGTGACATATCCATAGTCGCACCCACCCTTTAACATAACTTGGCGCATAAGCATAAGCACAATTATAAACATTTCTAATATTGTAAACAAAGAGCCTGGTGATAACATCGACATTGGTCAAGATCAAACTGTCCCCCTTTGGTAGACATAAACAATTCACCCTAAATATCACGCCACTGTCAATGTTCCCATCAGAGTACTATCCCACGCATAATTGCTGACGCAGCTCAAACTTCACTCAATTTTGACTCAAACTCTCTCAAAGCGAAGTTTGCTAAGCGACCGCAACAGTTAGATAAATCAGTTCATATTCGGGAAGCAAATCTGAATGTACTCAACAAAAGTAGCCGTTAAGTGAAAATAATAAATTGAAATATATTTTTTTATAGTAACCTAACGTGTAAAACTTAATTGGCGCAGCCGGTAGGATACGTCGGGAAAAAGTTAAGATCGCTAAAGGATAATTAATTCCCAGATCTAACGCACAATCGCGACCGAAAGTGTTGTCGGAGTGTAATAAAAATTTTCTCGAATACGTATCCGCACAAGAACCTTCGGGTCACTAGTAGCTTAATAATATTGACCCTTTGGGCAATAAAGCTACTACAGTTAATAACGACTGGATTTGCATATCGTTTGATCCCTGCAATACGTTATTACTGAGTCTTTTTAAGACACACACACAAAAAAAAAAAAAAAGAAACATTTAACCAATAATCCATCACAAACTTTAACCTAAAATAAAAGTGCAAAATCAAAGAACAATAAAGTTCAAACCTACAAACTCAAAACTATTCAAAAAAAAAGTGTATTACACCAAGATGACAATGGAATTATCAGAACAACACCTCAACCAGGCCCTTTCACAACTTAGACAGGTGCCAAGCTTTGACGGATCAACGGATCAACTAAACGCCTTCATTAAAAGGATAGATTACATCCTACACCTGTATCCAACCCGAGATGTTAGACAACATAGCATCTTATACGGAGCCATCGAATTGCAAGTCACAGGAGATGCTCAGAGAATATCACAAAGGACAGCAGCCAACACTTGGCAGGAGCTGAGAAACGCATTAATTGAAGAATACAAAGTGCAGACACCATTTGAAGAACTCCTTCGACGCTTATACAACACGAATTACCAAGGAAACGTCCGTAAGTTCATCGAGGAGCTCGAGAATAAATCTTTTGTTATATTAAATAAGTTAGCACTAGAAAATATACCTAGCAATACAACCCTTTATACAAATGCTATGAATAACACAATCAAAGATGTTATTACAAAAAAATTACCAGATAGGCTTTTCATGATGTTAGCCAGACACGACATTACGTCGACACAAAAACTAAAGCAAGTAGCTCAAAGAGAGGGATTATATGAAAATAGCGTTACTGAAAAACCTAAAAATAATAATGTTCAGGGAAATCCAAATAACAATCGTAGGAACATGGGAAATTATCAGCAAAATGCTAACCCAACCACCATTTCAAGTGGCTATTCCAACACGAATCAGAGTTATCACGCACAAAATAAACAGCATAATAAGTCCGAAGACAATCAGAAAGCTCACCACGAGTTCCAACAGAAATTAAGTCAAGGTAGATACCAAAATCCCTTAAACTACCAAAATCAGTCCCATTCACGCTTGAATGCACCAAACCCTCCGACTAAACGTCAAAGAGATAGTAACAGTGGGCAGATGAAAATGGATACATCCGAAAATTTTCATCAGCAAGCCTCGGAACAAACAGAAGAAATCCATTCATAAAATTGATTATGAATGACGAAGTTCTAAAATGTGTCATCGACACAGGTTCAACCATTAATCTAATGAAAACTAACCGCTTAAATTTTCCAGTTTACAACGAAACATTAAAGGTTCACACCATAAATGGTGTTATTGAATTAAAACAAAGTATACGATTAGGAGCAAGCAAAATTTGTCCGAGCAAACAAAAATTCTATATTCACGACTTCTCAGAGCATTATGATGTTCTGATTGGGAGAGAATACCTTGAGGCATGTCAAGCAAAAATAGACTATGCACAAGGATCCGTAACCTTAGGAGAATTTAACTTTTGTTTTAGATATAACGACGAAGAGGTCGAAGAGGACATGACCGCACAAGAGTGCCTTGATCCACCCTCAACAGAGGACAGACCATTTAACTTCGCTATTAATAATGAATTAATAGAAAACAATGAGTTTAGGCTAGAGCACCTAAACTCAGAAGAAAAAGAAAAAATAAAAAAAGTTTTACATGAATTTCGTGATATCCAGTACCATGAAGGTGACAATTTGACTTTCACTAGTACAATTAAACACAAAATTCTAACAAAACATGAGGACCCAATTTACAAGCGTCCATACAAATATCCTCAAATATACGATGAGGAAGTAAATAAACAAATAAGCGATATGATAAAACAAAATATCATACGTAAATCCAAATCCCCTTACTGCTCACCAGTAATAATCGTTCCAAAGAAAAACGATGCATCTGGAAAGCAAAAGTTCCGGTTAGTCATAGATTACCGCAATCTCAATGAACTAACTATTAATGATAAATACCCTATCCCGATCATGGATGAAATATTAGACAAACTTGGAAAATGTCAATATTTCACAACCATTGATCTAGCCAAAGGCTTC